TAGAGATTTCTTTTTTTTTTTTTTTTAAACGTTTTTATTTATTTTTGGGACAGAGAGAGACAGAGCATGAACGGGGGAGGGGCAGAGAGAGAGGGAGACACAGAATCGGAAACAGGCTCCAGGCTCTGAGCCATCAGCCCAGAGCCTGACGTGGGGCTCGAACTCACGGACCGCGAGATCGTGACCTGGCCGAAGTCGGACACTTAACCGACTGCGCCACCCAGGCGCCCCAAGATAGAGATTTCTTACATGTGCCCTGTCTCCACTCATGCGTAGCCTCCCCCATTATCATTTTCCACCAGAGTGGTCCATTTGTTACAATTGCTGAACCTGTATTGACCTATCAGAAACCCCCCCTCCCCCCCTCAGTCCATAGTTTATTTTAGGGTTCAATCTTCTATGTTCTTTGGGTTAGGACAAAGGTATAATAATATGTATCTACCATTATAGCATCATACAGAGTATTTTCACGGTTTCTGCGCTCTGCCTGTTTATTCCTCTCCCTAGTCCAGCCCTGGGCAACTACTGATAATTTTACTGTCTCCATAGTTTTGCTCTTTCCGGAGTAGTGTGTAGTTGGAATCATATAGCTTGTAGCTTTTTCACATTTTTTGCCCATTTTTAAGTTGGATTGTTTGGGGGTTTTTGTTGAGTTTTAGGAGTTACTTACATATTCTGGATATAACTTTATCAGACACATGATTTGCAAGTATTTTCTCCTATTCTCTGGATTGCCTTTTCACTCTCTTGATATGCCCTTTGATGTTCAAAGTTTTAAATTTTGATGTGGTCCAGTTTCCTTTTTGCCTGTGCTTTGTGTGTCATAGCCAAAATTCATTGCTATATCCAGCGTCTTGGAGTTTTTCTGCTAGGTGTCCTTCTAAGATCTTTATTGTTTTAGATCTCACACTTAGGTCTTTGATCCATTTTGATTTAGTTTTTGTGTATGGTGTAGGGTACAGATCCAACTCCATTTTGTTTGTTTTGTTCTCCATGTGGGTATCCAGTTTTCCCACTGTTTGTTGGAATTTTCCCCTTAGAATGGTCTTGGCACCCTTGTTGGAGATCATTTGAGCATATATGTGAAAGTTTATTTCTGGACTCTCTGTCCTCTTCTATTGGTCTATAGGTCTGTCTTTATGCCATTACCACAGTTTTGATTACTGTAGCTTTAAGGTAAATTTTGAAATCAGGCAGTGTGAGATCTCTTACTTTTTTTCCCCAGTACTATTTGTTCAGGGTCCATTGAGATTCCATATGATTTGTAGGGTGGGATTTTCTATTTTTTGGGAAAAGCATCCTTGGGATTTGATAGGTATTCCAGTGAATCTATAAATTGCTTTGGGTGGTATTCACATCTTATTATTAAGTCTTAAGCCTAACTATCTGTGAACATTAGATGTCTTCCCTTTTTGTCATTTTTAATTTCTTTCAGCCATGTTTTAAAGTTTTACTGTACAAGTCTTTTGCCTCCATGATTGAGTTTATTGCTAAGTATTTTATTTCCTTTGATGCTATTGTAAATGGAATTAAAAAGTTTTGCTTAGTTTTGTTTTCTGATTGTTCATTTTGTCTTTGCCCATTTTTAAAGTAAGTTATTTATCTTTTTATTGAGTTAAAGTTCTTTATTCTGGATATAAGTCTCTTATCTGATACATGATTTGTAAATATTTTCTGTCATTCTGTGGGTTGTTTTACTTTCTTTAGTCATATGAAAACACTTCTCCCAAAATGCTGCCTTTAAGGTGACAGGAAATTCTAAAATTTTATTAGAATTCACTTTATTAAAATATTAACCATTTTTCTATTTTAAATGTCATAATATATTTTCTAGAATAATATTCAGCTGTGAAAAGTCTTTTAGATCATTATATAGATACTATGTAATATCCTGGAAAATACATGATATATTAGGTGAAAGGAGTTATAACATAAGCAACTTTAATATAAAAGTTGTGTTTAAAAAAAACTCTGACTCATGCATAGGAAAAAGGATTAGAAAGAAATACACCAGAATGTTTATAGTGGTCATAGACTAGGACAATGAGTATTTTGTTTTCTACTTACTGTGTTTTTTAGGTTGTATTTAAGCATTTCTTAGTTAAAAAAAAAAAAATTTTTTTTTGGAAAGTACATGGGAAGTTTTTTGGTCCAAAGGAAAAATGTAACTCATGGGAAAACATAACACGTGATGACACAAGATATTCTTTCATATGTATCTGTGCATGCGATCAACCTGGCAGTTATAATAGCATTGTATTTCATCCTGCCCTAGTGTTACCACATCCACCAGTACCCCTGGGTACTAACATTGAACATCAGATCTCTAGCATTCTCCTGCAAATCTGCATTCTTCTTCATTTCTGCTGCCCTGTTAAGTTGTATAACTGAACTGAACCAGTGATGCTGGACTTCTATACATTGCTGATTAGTCTGAAATTTGTCAGAGCAGTTAACTGCTTAGAGTAAATATGAATGATATAGTTAATTATTCATTGTTGAATATTTATTTTAGGAGAGTGTTTGCTTCATTACAAACCATGCCTTTGGCAGTGTATCCTATCAGTCTGTAGCACTTTAAGAGTCACATGTTCTACCTAGTGTCAGGTGCCCATACCTACTGCCTACAGCCAGGTGCCCCTAGTCTGTATCACTTTAGAAGATGAGGGTCTATGTATTCTACATCTCACATTTTTTTTTGAATCTAGGTCTGTTGGGGAAATTTTTTTTCAACAGGTGTTGTAGGAATAACGTTAAATGAATGTTTTATCCGCTGCAATTTCAGTAATGGCTTTGCTAACTTATACATTTGGTTTAATCACGTGAATCAGTTTGTTAAAACAATCCGATAATTTATTTAAAAATCAATTATAGAAGTTTGTGTTAATTGTGGATTGGCAATTGTCTGGGTAATCGTCAGTTATTACAGTTAGCTAAATTGTACGGTTGACCTTTTGAACAACACAGGATGGGGCACTGAGCCCTGCACAACTGAAAATTTACATGTACCTTTGACTCCCCCAAAACTTCTAATAGCCCACTGCTGACTGGAAGCCCTACTAATAACATAAACATTAATCAACACATATTTTGTATGTTATATGTACTATAGACTCTATTCTTAGAAAAAAGTAAGCTAGAGAAAAAATATTACTAAGAAAATGTAAGGAAGAGAAAATATATTTACAGTAATGTGCTGTATTTTTTAAATCTGCATGTAAGTGGACCTGCCCTGTTCAAACCTGTGTCATTCAAGAGTTGGCTCTATTCAACTTACTGTACTTAGTATTCACTTATTGTAGATACAACTGATGTAATACACAGATTCCTATGGTTTTTGTTTCTATTATAGAAACTTGGTAGTAATTACTAATTTGGAAAAGGGTTATAATAAAGTCTTAGTTTAATAACTAAAAACAATTTTTCTGCTTTTTTAGGAGCTGGTAATGCTTCTTTTAGAATATAATGCAGATACTGCTGTTGTTAATGGGAGTGGACAGACTGCAAAAGAAGTCACTTATGACAAAGAAATCAGGAACATGCTTGAAGGTAAATATTATGGATCTTAAACAGTAATGACTTTAATGATAGCCAAGGTTCAGACTATAGGTAGAAATAGCTTCTGGGATGCCAGAATAGACTGCACTGCACTTATGCTCTAAAGAGAATGCAATCTACTGGGGCGCCTGGGTGGCGCAGTCGTTAAGCGTCCGACTTCAGCCAGGTCACGATCTTGCGGTCCATGAGTTCGAGCCCCGCGTCGGGCTCTGGGCTGATGGCTCAGAGCCTGGAGCCTGTTTCCGATTCTGTGTCTCCCTCTCTCTCTGCCCCTCCCCCGTTCATGCTCTGTCTCTCTCTGTCCCAAAAATAAATAAACGTTGAAAAAAAAAATTTTTTTTTAAAAAAAGAGAATGCAATCTTGGAGTCCCTGATTAGACACAAAATTATTTGAGTTTTCCTCACAGCTTTAAAACTTAAACAGGTTGGTAAAACTTGCCATAATGTTGTATGATCAAATCTGCAACAGAATGGAAAGTAGAAAGTGAGAGACATGAAGAATGTGGCTGGTAGGCTGCAGAAACATCATAACAAAGGATACAGAAGTGGAGGACAGTGAAGCTGTGAGAGGTGCAGCTGGTGGGAGTCGTTTGATGCTGGCCTGCTCCGTTGTCCTGAGGACTGCATTGTAGCACAACGGCTGACAGTAATTTCCTGAAGGATTAGCATCGTCATTAGAAACTCCAGATATTAAATTATGTTAAAGAAGATACGAGTCTGCAGTAACTCAGAGCAATTTCTCTAAAATAGAATAAAACAGACATATTTTGATTCTTACATTGGGAAACTCTCATGCATTAAGATTATCCTCTGAGTGGCCAGGGCTTTACTATAATTATTTTTTGGTAGTATTTCTATGCTAGAGAAGAGAAGATTTCTTAATTTCTACTCTGTAGTAGAAAGCACATATCCTGTGTTTCTTTGTTTTGCAATTCAGGGAAAGGTAAGATAATTCAGTATTTAAAGGGTATTTCTTAATTATTAGTATGTTTAACTATGTAAAAACCAGTATCTTTTTTCTATTTTCCAGTTGTCCTTGAAAACTAAAATTTTCTCTTGTTTTCTAGTTAGAAAATAATGTCAGCCTATCAACCATACTCCTCATGTCTACTACCTTTCTACTTTTAATTTTTTTGAAGATTTGATCATACAATATTATGGCAAATTTGACAAATCTGCTTAAGTTTTAAGTTTTGTCAGACATCCTTAGGTCACTGTCTTAACTCTTGCCTTAAAAATAAAACCTTTTGATTTAAAATGAACAGGCATATCAACTAAACATCTTCTCTAAAGCTCTGTCTTATGTGATTTTTTTGGGAGATTGCACATATTAGATGTGATCCCTGCCCTTTAATATATTATGATCTAACTGGGAGGCTGAGGTGTCCTGTCCTTGACCATAATCCTATCCTTTTTTAAATTTATTTTTAAAGTAATCTGTACACCCAACATGGGGCTCAAACTCATGACCCTGAGATCAATAGTCACATGCTCTACCAACTGAGCCAGCCAGGTGCCCTTGTTCTGTTATTTTAATTGTAACAAAATGAGAACCTGGAACTGAGGCTCGCCTGACAAGTTGACATTTAGTGGGGCCAATCATGAAGACATGTTCTACCTCCCCAAAACTCAAATACACTAAGGACAAGGGCTCCATTGACGTATAGTTTGTCAGCTAATAAGGTGCTATCCTGGGAAATGGAAGGAGAAAGTTATTTGACTCTGCTCTGATGAGATCACCTTAGCCAGATATAATTTGTGGATAGTGCCTTAAGTGGCTCAGACTTCAGGGAGTGCATCTAGTAGCCCTCCAAGACTATAGGTAGAACAGAAACCACATCATGGGGTAGGGCACTAGAGACAGGAAGAGTTTCACCCCAGAAGCACAGATCTCAGTGGTCACAACAAAATTTTACTCAAGCATCTAAAGAAGTGTTATATTGTAATCTTATTTGTGCTAGAACAGAGCCAGTTGTTGGTCCAGTTGATGTAGTGCCAGGGGTTCATCTTTGGGTCCTGTGTATTGTAATAATGGCTTGGGTTGCACTTTAAGGTGTAGGGAGTTCACATGATTGGAGTTACCTGGAAAGAGGTTAGACTACTATAGGTCAGGCACTAGAGAGGAATACCTTCTTCTACATACCATTTGTCTTTCATTTTATTTTGAGAAATTTCTAACCTACAGGGAAGTTTCAGTTATAGTGCAATGAAAACTTGTATGTCCTTCACTTAGATTCAGTAGTCATTAACATTTTGCCACATCTGGTGTATCCTTTTATATAGTAATGTTCCTTAATATTTTTTGTAGAACTATTTGGGAGTAACTTCTAGAAAGTGGTACTTCTAAGTATTTCAGTATGTATCCCTTAAGAACAAGGATATCTTCTTACATAATCACAATATAACTACCAATTTCCAAAAATTTATCACTAATATAATATAGTTTATATTCAGATTTTGTCAATTGCCCAAATAATGTCCTTTGTAGAATTTTTCCCCCAATTCAGAATCCAATCTAGAATCTCTCATTGTGTTGACAGATTGCTTTAGTCTCCTTTATCTGGAATAAGTCCTTAGCCTTTGTTTGTCATGATCTTGACCTTTTTGAGGAGGAAGGAAATTATAGAATTATTTGTAGAATGTCTCAGTTTTGGTTTTTTTTTTTTTTTTTAATCTTTTCATATATTTTAGATTCAGGATCTGCTTTTTGGCAGGAATGGTGAGGTTGTATCCTTTACCAGTGCATCACACGTTAGGAGGAAACATTGTTTATTTTGCTCTATTACTGGTAATGTTATCTCTGATAACCCAGTGCTCCACTGTAGAGATACCCCCTCCCTTTGTAAGTACTAATCTATGGGGAGAAAAATTCAAATTTCCTGTTTACCATTAATCTTTTAATAACTCATTTCAGCATTAATGATTCTCGTCCTGAATCACTTCTTACTATGGAGATTGCAAAATGGTGATTTTTCTGTTGTCAGTGAAGGACATTTGCCAGGTTCTTACCTCCATTTCAAGTGTATTGCTATTTAACCTGCCCTGTGCATATACATAAGAGTGTTGTTAGGAGGGAGTTAAACTTCATGATCTCTGCACTCCCTATTAACTCGGGATGCAGATTCAAACGAAAGATAGATAATTAGTTTGTCATATTAAAATTAAAATTTAGGGATGCCTGGGTGACTCAGGCAGTTAAGCATCCGACTCTTGGTTTCTGCTCGGGTCATGATCTCATGGTTAGTGAGATTGAGCCCTGCGTTGAGCTCTATGTGGAGAGCACAGAACCTGCTTGGGATTCTCTCTCTCCCTGTCTCTGCCCCTCCTTTGCTTGCACATGTGCTTGCTCGCTCTCTTTCCAAAATAAACTTACGTAAAAAATAAAATTGAATTAAAATTTGTAGGACAAATGAATTTTTTGAATGGAATATTTCCTTTGAAAACATTTATTGAGGTATAAAATATATGGATAAAAGCATACATAATTAATGTATAGCTCACTATTTTCACAAACAGAACACATCAATGTAAGCAACAGATCAAGGAACAGAATGTTACCAACACTCTGGAAGCCTCATCTCCCCAGCTGGAATTTTTCCTTTTCGTTGGCTGCATCAATAATCTTTCAGTGTCTTTAATGAACAGAGGACAGGAATGTATGCAGTGTTTGCAACTCCAAAACCCCATTTTCCTTCATTTATGAATCTAGGCAATCTAAAAAGAAACATTAGGGTACCCTTTACCTCTTTTCCATGAAGTCTAGAACCAACACGATTAAGCATTGTTTGATTATTTAGTAAATATATATTGACCAAATACACGTCGTGCCAGACACTGTCATAAATGGCTAGGATACACAGAAGAGTAAGAACAGTACCTGACTGCTAGCGATAACTTACAGCTCTGGGTAACACATGCAGGAGTAGAAGTACATACAAGAGGGATAGGAATGTGACTGTTCTCAGAGCTCATGGTGCAGTAGCCCCAGGACCAGTAAGAGGAAACACTGAAGAGTGTGAATCGCAGCAAAAGAAGAAGCCATTGAGAGCTTATGCAGAGGCTTGGGTGCCTTCCTTTGAGGTGGGGAGGGAGTCTGGGTGTGGAAATAGAAATGTGAGGATAGAAGATGATGGTATGTTAGGACTGTCCATCTTTTCTTAAAGCTAAACTAGTTCTAGCTATAGCTGTATCCACGATCGCATTCATAGTGTTTCCCCAGTCACTTGGCTCCCCAACCTGCTTTTTAGTCCATGACCTTACTTCAGCCAGGAAGACCTGAGAAACCTTTTATAGTTTCTCCCTTGCAGCCTTTGCAAAGGATATTATGCACATGTTTTAAGTGAGGTTACTGAGCCTTCCTGTGAAATTGTTTTTTTTCAAGCCAGAACAGAATTCAAATCTAGCAAAAAGAGACCTTATTGCATATTGCAGTTTCTTAAATCAAATTGCCTGTTCTCTTTCTGTGCAAGTGTGATTTAAGAAGCAGAATAGAATAGTGGTAAGAGCATGGTCTCTGGAACCAGCCTGCACGAGTTCAGATCCCAGCTCCTCCAATTCCTAGCTGTGTGACCTTAGTTTAATTCCTTAACTTCTTAATGCCTCAGTCTCTTCATCTGTACAATCAGAATAATAGTAACACCTACTTCATAGCATAGTTATGAGGATTTAATGAGCTAATATATTTTTTTCAAAATTTAATATTGAAGTATAGATGACCTACCATGTTTTGTTAGTTTCAGGTATGTTACAAAGTGATTTGATTTTTATATGTTATGCAGTGTTCACCGTGGTAAGTGTAGTTACCTGTCAGCATGCAGTATTACTAAAATACTGGCCTTATCCTGTATGCTGTATTTTTTCCATCTCTGGGACTTATTTATTTTATAACTGGAAGTTATTTTTAAAGTGCTTTGAATAGTACTTGGCATATACTAGGTGCTATAGAATTTGTTAAAATAAGTCTTCTATTAGGTGGAAGTATATACGTATGTATAGATCTACTTACATGGTTTGTACATCTTCTACCAGTGCTGTTTCTTATTGTTATTTTTAACGGATTCTAAGGTTCTAGAAGGTGTGAGTGCTACTCTCCAATTTATCAAGGCAGATGTGTAATAGTATTTCAGCATGCAAAAGTAATTCATAATTATCTGTGATGGGTGTTATAGTAAGATACTTAGACTTCTGAATTGAAAACATAAATTCATATGAACCTAAAAGGAGTTGAACTCCCTTATCTGAAATTCAAGGCAGTGAGAATAACAATAAGTCTTTAACTATATTTCAATTATAATTCAAAATATTGTGACTTTTTCCCCACAGTCACTTTATTCATACATCCTGTTAATGATGTTGCTAATAGGATTCTGACTAGAAGTAGAGTAACATATACTTTCCTTTTGCAGCTGTAGAAAGGACTCAACAAAGAAAGCTTGAAGAAGAACTTTTAGCAGCAGCGAGAGAAGGCAGAACAGCAGAACTCCTAGCTCTGGTAAAACAACATGTCTTAGTTCTTTACCCTTCAGGAGAATTGTAACTTTACGTTAACACTTCATAATGTAGTCAAATTGCGGGGCTAAAATACTTGAGATTATAATAGTAGTACAAAAGTCCTTAAATATCTGAAAGCACTTGGCATATAATAGTTTAAGCAAGATACATTTTAAGGATTGTTTTCTATGAATTTGTGATTTATGTCCCCACTCCCTACTGTGAAAATCTGATAAATTAAGAATCTGATTTTTCAAGGCGAATACATTATGTAAGACAATTGTTTTTTTTCAAATTAAGCCAATTTAAATTGAAACATAATATGTAAGATCCTATAAAGGAACAAGTTTCTCTAGTTCTGATAAGCAATCATTTCTGAAGGGTATGCTACACTTTTAGAAAGTAACGTACAAATATGTGATAATACTTGGGAATATTCATATCATGTCAGAACAGATTGAAAGCTTTACCCATTTTTTTTTTTTCCTTTTGGAGACCTACTTTCCAGTTTCTATTTCCCACGTAGTCTCATTAAACATGGAACTAAATTTGTTCTAAATTGAAGAATGAAGCATTGCCATTTGCTTTAAAGTTATTTCAGCCTTTTCATTTGAAAAGACCTCTTTGGTTTCCAAGTAAAGTACCTAAAACATTTTTTAATCTTTGTGAAATGGAGACTGTATAAAGAAGTTTTTAAAATAGTCAGTTGGGAACAACAAATTCAGTAGAACTTTAACACATTTAACCTTTATGGTTTTAACTCTTCTGAATGACTGTCTGTGGTAGACTGGTTTATATTTTTGCTGTCACAAGTATGAATCACAAAATGGGTATAAGTGAGCCAATCTTAGTGAAATCTTAATGTCCAGGAGTGGGTGGGGTGGCACTGGTGTAGTGTGTGGTGTCTGTTGTCAGGGGAATGTGGGACCCAAGATTTCATGGCACCTTGAGGACGAGCATGGCAAGTGACATAGATTTGCTGGCTTTAGGGAACAATAAGCCACTGGCTGTCTAGCATCCTAGAG